GGCTGGGCGGCGGGAGGGGGCAGGGCCGGGCGGGAGCGTAGCTCGGGCCGTGGGCGCTAATGGCGGCGGGCGCGGCTGGCCGGCGGCTGGCCCTCCCGCAGGCTCCCACCAGCCTGGGTTCGAGTCCGGGCACCGCCCCACGGGCCTCGGACCCGTCACAGCCCTTTCTGGGCTTCAATGTCCTGGTTTTTAAATAGGCCCGAAGACACCCCCCCGGGAGGCCTGGCCATGCAGGGCCTGCCCCAGTGCTGCGCGATTGCGCGCCTGTCTCCCTCCCTCCATTAAATCCCGGCGCTCGGGGACCTGCCAGTGACTGGCAGGGCCAGGAGGTGTGGCTGGGCCGGCTGCTCCCACACCTGAATGCACATTATGGCCCTGTCACTCTCTACAGGTGTGACCTTGGGTAAGTCCCTTCTCTCTGAGCTTCAGTTTCCTATCTGTAAGTCAGGGACAGTAGTGATAACATTAGCAACAACACTTACGTAGCTCGTGTTCTGCGTCAGGCATTTAATTCTCAACAGCTCTACAAGGCAGGAACAGTTGTTACTTATTTTAAAGATGAAGCAACAGAGGAACGGTGACATTAAGTCTTGCCCAAAGCCACACAGCTTAGTTTAGTGCCTAGCACTCTTCTAGGGCCCAGTAAGCTGTAGATCTGTCTTGGACCTGCCCTAACTCGGTTCCCTTGCTTCAGGATGGAGCCAGGTGAGGAGCTGGAGGAGGAGGACTCTCCAGGCGGCCGGGAGGATGGCTTCACTGCTGAGCATCTGGCCGCGGAGGCCATGGCAGCTGACATGGACCCCTGGTTGGTGTTTGATGCCCGCACCACACCTGCCTCAGAGCTGGATGCCTGGTTGGCCAAGTACCCGCCATCCCAAGTTACCCGCTATGGCGACCCTGGCTCGCCCAACTCGGAGCCCGTGGGCTGGATTGCAGCATATGGGCAGGGCTACGTCCCCAATTCAGGCGACGTGCAGGGCCTGCAGGCAGCCTGGGAAGCTCTGCAGACCAGCGGGCGGCCCATCACGCCAGGTACCCTGCGCCAGCTGGCCATCACCCACCACGTGCTCTCGGGCAAGTGGCTGATGCACCTGGCACCTGGCTTCAAGCTGGACCACGCCTGGGCCGGCATTGCCCGGGCCGTGGTCGAGGGCCGGCTTCAGGTGGCCAAGGTGAGCCCACGGGCCAGGGAGGGTGGGCGCCAGGTCATCTGTGTTTACACGGACGACTTCACGGACCGCTTGGGTGTGCTGGAGGCCGATGCAGCCATCCGTGCAGCAGGCATTAAGTGCCTGCTCACCTACAAGCCTGACGTCTACACCTACCTGGGCATCTACCGGGCCAACCGCTGGCACCTCTGCCCCACGCTCTATGAGAGCCGTTTCCAGCTGGGGGGCAGTGCCCGCGGCTCCCGTGTGCTGGACCGCGCCAACAACGTGGAACTGACCTAGTGGGGCCAAGTAGGGGAGACCACTGTCTGCCCTCCCTGCCAGGGATGGATCCTCCCGTCTTCCTTGTCCCAAGGAGGCCAAGTCCCCCAGCTCTGAGGACTAGGTCACTCGGGAACTGTCTGCATCTTCAATCCCCTTGAACTTCTGCCCTCTGTTCAGGGCTGACTCAAGTCCCCACCGGCTGGAGGCTCTGGCTCCCTGGAGGCTCTGGCTCCCTGAGGGCCGGACCCTCAGCCTCTCTTTTCGCTGCTGCTCCCCTCTGCCATCGAGGACCGCAGGCTGGGTGCAGACCCCCAGGAGGAGAGCCTTCCTTGGCTGCCCTCATCCCTGGCTGTACCTCCCCCCTCTCCCGCATCTTCCCCTTTTTCTCTTCCTCCCTCACAAGAGAAAAAACTTAGGGCTTCCAGTATCTCTCCTTGGAGCCTTCACAGACCAGCAGGCAGAGGCCCTGCAGGCCTGAGCATGCCATTTTGTTGGGGGGATGAGTGTGCCCACTCAGCCCTGGGCAGAGAGAAGATGCCCAGGCCATGGACATGGGGCCTGTCCCTCCCTGCCCCCTCACAGCCTGCACCACCTTTCTCCCTTCCTTCACTACCTTGTCATGTGCCTGCTCCTGGCATTTCAATAAAACCCAGATTGGGTCTGTGTCTTGAGTGTTTTTTAAAATACTGTGTTGGTGGTTACTTGCTTTGGTTGCTGGAGAGAGGCAGGGCCAGGAGAGACTGCCCCTTTGCTCTGATGAGGCCCCCCTAACATCCCCCAATAATAAGATACTCCTCACTGCCAAGCCTGAGAGGGGCTGGCCCCGTGGCTTAGCGGTTGAGTGCGCGTGCTCCGCTACTGGCAGCCCAGGTTCGGATCCCGGGCGCGCACCGACCCACTGCTTGTTGGGCCATGCTGTGCCCGCGTTCCACATACGGCAACTAGCAGGATGTGCAACTATAAAATACAACTATCTCCTGGGGCTTTGGGGAGAAAAAAGGAGGAGGATTGGCAATAGATGTTAGCTGAGGGCTGGTCTTCCTCAGCAAAAAGAGGAGGATTGGCATGGATGTTAGGTCAGGGCTGATCTTCCTCACAAAAAAAAAAAAAAAAAAGCCTGAGAACTTCTCTGAGAGCCTCTGCAAAGCCAGCCCTGCTTCCCCTCCATCCTAAGAATCAGAATCAGTTTCTCAGTGATTTCCCATAAATCCAGGGGCTCAACCCAGCAAAGTCTGAGGGGCCACTACTAACCTACAGGGTGTATTGGCGCCTGTTAGAGAAAGGTATCCTCTTGGTCTAGCAGTTCTGGGCCACGGCACACGGTCTGGTGAGCAGCAGATAGGCTGGATTTCCGCAATCTAGGCTGGACATCCTTGTGCAGTGAACAACCTGCACAACCATAAGTGACCCTGGAAGCTTTCCTGTTTATACTCACCTCTCCCACCACCCTAATCATCACGGGCCACAGAACGTTTGCAAAGCACTTCCTTATGCATTATTTAATCACAACCTCTTTAAAGGGAGATGTTGGTCCCATTCTGTGGTCAAGGAAATTGAGGCCAAGAGGGGAAGGGAATTCCCTCAGAGTCGTGGTGAGTCGGGCAGAGCTAGGCCTTGCACCCCGGTCCCTGCCTCCTCCTCAGGCAGAGTGTGGTCCCTGGCTTCACCCACAGGGAGCTCCAGGCACATTCCCTCATGTGATCTCACTGGGCCACCCCGCTCAGCTGAGGCTGCTGCAGCCTCGGAGCCTGGCTCTGCACCCCCCAACCCCGTGCCTGGCCCTGGCCTTGGTTGGAGGCCAGGGTGTCTGGCAGGGAGCCCCTTAGGACGCTGCTCTCGTGCCGTGCGGAGCTGACTCATCCTCCAGCAGCCTCACCAAATTGGAATTTGGAGCAGGGGAGCGGAGATGCCACTGGGCTGACTGGGTGGAAGTGGGTGAGTCATGAGATGCTGGCTCAGCCCCCTCCCCAGCTTCCTCCCCACCCTGAGCTTCCCCAGGGCTGAGTCCCCCCTAAACCCAGCCCTGGGAAGTCCCCAGAGCTGAGTGGTCTCCCCTTGGAGCCTGGTGCCCTGCCTCCCCCAGCCTGTCAGTGCTCTACACTTGACCAAAGTGCGCCAAGGCTTGGGGGGGATCCTGGGAAGGCCCTCATGGGTCCCCCAAAGATGCCCAAGGGGTGTCAACACCGCCTGGTTCTCCTTCCATAACTAAGCGTTTGACACGCTCATCCCTTCTCCAGCCTCATGGCCCTGCTTTAGCCCATTCCTCACTCTCTCTTCACCAAACCATTGCACTTGCCTGCTCTGCCCGCTTCCCCTCCCACTTCCCCCCTGTGCCCCCACAGCCAGCTCTCCTGCAGAGCTGCCTCTGTCCCTCTCCTACTCAAAGCCCTCCTGTGGCTCCCCACAGCCTGCAATAGAGTCTGCTTTCCTGAGCCAGCCATGACCTAGCCCCCTGCCGCTGCCCCGGCTTCCCGCAGGCGCCCCTTTCCGCCCCTGCTCACCCCACGGGAGCCAACTGGTACTTCCTTCACCCTGGCACGCAGCCCCGGGCCTCAGGCCATTCCTTCTGCTTGAACACCTGCTGTGCAGCAAGGATGGGGAGGTTCCTTATGCAACCACTTGATTGACGTCTGTCTCCCGCTGGCCCCTGAGGCGCATGCCCATGTGGCCTCAGTGAAGACAGGGACAATGTCTGGATCTCAGCCCTGTCCCCAGAGCCTAGCACAGTGCTTGGCTAGAGCCATCTCTCCATAAATTATTGAATGAATGAATGAATGAATGAAAGACTCAAATTCAGCCCCTGCCAGTCCTTCCGGCCCCATCTCCTCCATTTCCTGCTTTACCCTTCTTGTTCCAGAATCAGGAGCCGCCTGAGGTTTTCTCGCACACGTGCTGGGCTTTGTCACTTTTGCGCCTTTGCTCATGCTGTCATCTCTGCTTGGTGTGCCTGACCCTCACCTGCTTTCCTGGCTGGCTCCACGTCTCAGACCCACTGGCTTGGGTGTCATCCTCTCAGAGGTTCTTCCTCCCCTATCCATCCTCAGCCCAGGCTCCACAACACCCACTAGTCCACCTGTGGCTCTCATCTGTGCGCCTGGGGCCCCTCGAGGACAGGGCTGCGCTTTATCCCGCAGGTGTCCTCAGCGTCCTGCATAGGGACCTGGCCTAGCGCGAGTGCCAAATCAATGTTACTGAAGAAATGAGTGACTAAGTGAAAGTCACTCTCTGTCTCTGGGCCTCAGTTTCCTCCTTCTATTCACGACAAGCGCCAGGCACCATGCTAAGTGTTTACTCACATTAGCTCATCTAAGCCCCACCCGACTTTATTATTATTGCCATTTACAGAAGAGCAAACTGAGGCCCAGAAAGGTTCAGTAATTGGCTTGAGGTTACAAAGCTATAAGTGGCAGAGCCAAGATTTAAATCCAGGTCGTCTGACTCCAGAGCACCTGATGCCTTGTGGATCCTGCACTGTATGAAGGTGCTGTTGGGGTGGGGGGCTGCAAAGATAGATAAGAGCCAGCAAGGACTGAGGATCTGAGTTGTAAAGCGCACAGGGTGGGTCCTCAGAACTGCCTGGGAGAGGGGCTGGGCCAAGACTAAGATTCCCATTTTACTGATGGAGAAACCGAGGCTCACAGAATACAGTCACTAAGCCTACCTGGACAGGAAGGATCTCCCAGGCCTACGGGGTTGGGGAGGACTGCTTCCCTGTCAGGCCAAGGGCTTCCCAAGACCTACCTCCTCAGGCTGGCAGGGGCTTCTGTCCTGTCCAGCTGGTCTCTTCCCACACAGGAGTAAGAATACAGCCCTGGCCCAGGGTGGGTGAGGCTGGGTAAAGGTGGACAAGCCCCTGTGCTCTCTCTGCTTCCTTTTATAAAACCACAGGAAGGGGGACTGAGGCTGGGGAAAGCAGACAACCCCCTACTCCACCTCCTCCCACTCACGTGCACTGCAAACCCCCACACCCGAGGGAGGAGGCTCCACAGGGGCTGCCTGGGGGGTGGGGAGAATCTCTGCCCAACCCCTGATTCCAGCTGGGGCTCGGGGCTGAATGGGGGGGCAGGGGACAGGAAACAGCTGAGTCAGGAGAAAGCTTCAGCAGAAGCTTTGGCGAGGTTTGGGGGATTTTCCCAGCAGGGCAACTGCTCCCTACTCCCGCCCGCTGGGAGGGGCCCTGGCGGGGACCAGGCTTGGGTCACACGGCTGATTCATCCTCAGAGGGAAACTCCCCTCTTCTCTGACGTTTGTCCCCCAGACACCGCAGGGTAACCTGAGGGCACCAGCCCAGAAACCCACCAAACCCATCTTTCCTTGATTACTAGCTTACCAGCAGGGCATGAAGACCCCCCAGGCTGGACAACCGGACAAAGCCGGACAGGGTGGCAGGGCATAGAGAGCAGCTTCCAGGGGAATACCACCAGAGACTGGAACCAGAGACGGCTGGACGAGGGGCACCTCAGGTATCCTCCCCTCACCTATTTTTTAGATGAGAAAACTGAGCTCAGACAGTAAGAGCAAACCTGTCCACAGACCTTCTCTGTGCCAGGCTCTACTCCAAGCAGCTTGTATGCATTAACTCATTTCGGTCCTCACAGCCCTCATATTACTAAGGAGGAAAAGGCAGCAGAAGGAGGTTAAGTTGGCCACAGTCAAAGCTAGAATCGCTCCGGGGGGCCTCCACAACTCCCAAGAGCGCTCGCACACACCCCTGTGGCCGGGAGCTCCATCCCTGGTCCCCAAGCAGTTCTGGCCCCTGGGGGCAGAGGCCTCCCTGGGGTTTAAGTCTAAATTGGTTTCTGGGGATTTTTCACCCTCAGGTCCCAACTCTGCCCCCTGGGAACCCTAGAGGACAGGCAGGTCACGCCCTGGGCCCCAGCTCCTCCCAGGCTAAAGGGAGAAAGCAGGCTCCTGCAGAAAAAAATCAGCGGAACCCACAGAGGCCAGGAGAGGGCAGCGAAGCATTCCCGCCAAAATCTTCCTCTAAGGGCTTTGACTCCCTTCCAAACCCCAATCCTTTCCTCCCGAGTCAGAGCTTCTCTTTCCTGTCTGCCAACCCCCCTCCCCGACACCACACACACACACACACACACACACACACACGCATGCGCACACACACACACACACACACACACAGGGGCACAGACACCCACACTGAGAGTCCAGCCTCCCAGCCCCTGCCCCTCAGCCCCTCAGCGAGCCTAGGCAGGTCCTGTTCCCTCTGCCCCGGCCAGGGGCCTGCTGGGTGTTAGAGGGGAGCTCAGAGTTGTGGCAGTGAGGCGTGGCCAAGAGCCCCACACAGGCCAGCTCTGCCCCATCTGGCTCCCACTCACAGGCTCCATGACTCACCCCCTCACCCCCCCATGACTCAGTTTACACGGGTGCCCGGAGGTCCTCCCAGCAAGGGTGGGGCTGTTTATTGGCCCAGCCCAGGCCCGCCAGCCTTTCATCCCAGGATGAGCATTTCATCGCCCTCCTGGCCCAGAGCAGGAGCTGGCATCCTGGAGCCCGGGGGTGGAGGTAAGCCTCTGGGAGGGTGACAGGCCCCAACTTCCCTGGGCCTGGGTCTGCTCCAAGAAACCTAAGGGGCTGGCCTGAGTGGGCAGAGCCATCCTGGGTACCAGCAGCAGAGCACTTGATGCCCTACATTCAGAGGAAATGGTCCACATGGCACAAAACACAAC